GATAGAGGCAGCAGAGTCATGGAAGTCAGTAATTCTTGATACACTGGATGACAAACTCAACACAGTTTTGTGGGCTTACAAGAAAGTTGCAAATAAGGTGCACCCTGTACCTGGAGTGCTTCTGGAGGAGTTCTACATAGTCAGACAATGGCACCCCAATCCTCTAGCCAGAATGCCTATATTACTAACAATACTACAGCCCTTTGTGCCTACCAGCTGACTTACAGAAGAGTGGATGCAAGCAATTAGAGAATTGCAATTAGGATTCCTATGGCTGGAAGAATGGAAACTTGCAGAAAACCTATTAATGCTACAGTCAGAAGTGTTTGTGTGGACAGAAGAGGAGCAAGGAACATTGGACCCTACATACTTTGATCCTATTCGAATTCTGACTGTAGAGCATGTACCATGGGTAGAGAAAAGTATTCTGATCACACACAGAATTGAGAAGAGGGTGATTGAGTTGTTGAAGGAGAAGTTGTGTAACAGAGTGATAGAACTGTCAAATTCCTCCTATCAATCATGATGGTTTTGCATCACAAAGAAAGACAGAGTATCCTTACAATTTATTATTGATTTGCAGAGGTTAAACACAGTTACAATAAAGGACACAGCTGTTCTGCCAAACATGGAACTAATTGTAGAAAGCTGCAGAGGTCATGTATGCTATACACAACTTGATTTGCATATTGCATTTGATCAGAGGAGTTTGGATGAGCAGTCTAGAGATCTGACAATGTTCTAGACACCTCTAGGGACATTTTGCTTGACAGTATTGCCAATGGGTTACACCAACTCAGTACAGATTCTGCATAATGACTTAGTGTTTATTCTTTGCAATGAGATTCCAGATGTTACAAACCCATACACAGACAATGTTCTGGTAATTGGACCCTACTCAAGATATGAGAAAGCAGACAGAATGGAGGAAACGCTTCCCAAGAACAAGGGAGTACAGAAGTTTGTTTACAAGCATCTGATGGATGTAAACCAGATTTTGCAGAGAGTGAAAGCTGTAGGAGGGATGTTTTCTGGAAAGAAGATGATGCTTTGCAACAAATCCACAATATTTGTTGGGCATAAGCTGACATATTTGGGGAGAGAGGCTGAAGAATTGTGAATACAGAAGGTTAGGGATTGGCTGCCTTGTAAGAGTGTTATAGAAGTATAGGGATTCCTTAGAACAGTAGGAGTGCTTTGTGTTTTTATTCAGAATTACACAAAGTTAGCACAACCACTCAATTGACTCACACAAAAGAACTTGATATTCAATTGGAATGATGAAGCACAGAAATCTATGGACACACTCAAGGAAGCAGTTTTACATTGCCCTACACTAACACTAATCAACTATGAGTCAGAGTATCTGGTAGTTTTGGCAGTAGATTCGTCTATCATTAGAGTAGGATAGTATATTAGTCAGGAGCACCTGGATTGCAAACAGAGAATAAATCGATTCGGATCAATTAACTGGAATACAATGTAAGTACAATATTTGCAAGCAAAAATAGAGCTATTCAGACTTTATTGCACACTTCACACATTGCACATATATCTCATAGGTGTTAAGAAATTAATTGTGGAAATGGATGCTTCATACATAAAGGGAATGATCAATAAGCCTGACCTACAGCCTAATGCTATAATCAATTGCTGGATAGCCAGTATTTTACTATTCAATTTCGAGTTCTGCCACATTCCTGCATCAGACTTTAAGTGTACAGACAGATTATCACAATACTGAGTAGCACCTGAAGACCCCCCAGACAACAAAACCTATGAAGACTGGATTGATGAGTCATACAGATTTTACACAGCAGAAATAGAATCTACACAACACAGACGTCAGCTGGAGATTTGCAGGTCTACAGAACACAAAGCTTTGTTAGTTGAGTGTGTAGAAATACAGTCCTGGGTTTCAGATGTAATGTGCTGGGAGACACACAACAACATTATTGACAAATCATTTCAAGTAAACAAGGACATGCCACAGGCAACACATTCTGGCAGACTGTAACATAGATTATTCCCAGAAGTTGTTATTCTGAAACAGAACTAGAATTGGATACATTAAGATAAACTAGAACAACCCAATCCAGAATGTAGAAGAGTGGAAGATGAAGCAGACAAAGGACTACAGGAGTAGGAACCTGGAGGAGAGTCTCACAGAGTTGTGGGAACCAAGGAGGTAGAGGGAGCAGATGACAAAGTAGAGGGTGACAATCTAGAGCTGATAGGGGTTGTGTACAGTATCTACAGTAATGAGACTGAGGGTTTGAATGTAACAGCAGAACAATTCCTACAATCACTAACTACTGAAAGGCAAGAAGCAAGACTAAAGACTGTGAAAGAGTATCTTGGCTCACTCTGCAAACCAAGTGGAATTGTAGACACTGATTTTCCAACATTTATACAATACACTACACAGTTCTTTGTACAGAACAACAAGATTTAGTATTAAGGTCCTAAAGGAAAGTATTGGATTGTGCTGGATAAGGACAGGAGATGGGTGTTGGTTAGGATAGTACACAAAGACTTAGGACACAAGGGAATCTTTGTAGTACAAGCCTGTTTACTGGATCAGTTCTGGTGGCCATCTCTTACAGAAGACATTAAGTATTTCATTAGGACTTGTCATACATGTCAGACTTGGCAGATGCAACAAGTGCTGATTCCACCAAGTATTCTAGAGATTGTGCTGCTTTTCCAAAAGATCCACATAGATACAAAGGTTATGCTGAAAGCAGGAAGATTCTAATATATTGTGCACACACACTGTTCATTATCAGGGTATCTGGAGTTTTGCATGCTTCATGTAGAGAACAGAAGGACAATAGGACAGTTCATCTTTGAGGAACTTCTATGCCAATACAGAGCATGTCCCAAGCTTGTAACAGACAATAGAACACCTTACATCACAGTGCTGGACTATTTGTAAGAACAGTACCACATTAATCATATTCAGATTTCTGTGTATAACTCCTGTACAAACAGAATTATTGAGCAGAAACACTTGGATGTACAGGAAGCAATTGTAAAGATAGTAGGAGACAATATTGGACATTAGTATAAGTACATACATTCTGTGTTCTGGGCAGAGCAGATTATGATTCAGAAAGCAACTGGATATTCTCCTTATTACCTTGTTCATAGAGTAGAGCCAATATTACTGTTTGACCTGAATGAGGCAATGTATTTGGTTCTACCCAAAGGATTGCTACTAACAACAGAGGAACTGATAGTGATACAAGTGCAACAATTGTAGAAGAGACCAGACAACCTTACACAAATGATGGAAGGTGTACAGAAAGCCTGCAAAAGATACACAAAGCATTTCACAGAAGTCAATTGTAATCAGATCAAGGACTACAACTTTGCTCCAGGTGTACTAGTGCTAATCCACAATTTGAAAGTGAGCAATGACTTAGGACAAAAGATGAAACTGTAATACCTCAGACTGTTTGTAGTGGTGCAAAGAACAAGAGGAAACACTTATGTTGTAGCAGAACTGGATGGAGCAGTGGTCAAGTTACATATTATAGCATTTTGTATGTGAATATAAAATGTAACAAAGCATTGGGAACTGTGGTTAGACACAGTATTTACAGATTTACACAACTGTTAGGTGTTGTTGGTAGGGAATCAACCCCTATGTTTTAGTTTCCTGTACAAGACTGGGAGGGTATATTGAAAAATTGCACATTCTCAGATCAGGAGTCTGTGACTTCTACACTTGGTTCTACTTCAAGCATAGCATCTGAAGCACAGTTGTCTAGATCATCTGTATCCTTGTAACTAGTCCTGTGCAGCTCTGTGTCTTCCAGCATTAGTTCTACTGTATTGATGAGACATAAGATAGGAACTGTTAAACATGAACACAGAAAATACAGAATTAAGCTTCTAATCTTCTGTTTACATTCCTTTTCATTTACAATAAATTACAAAAAGCCCATACAACATTCTATAAGCATATAAACCTTTATACAAATTATGATTCTTTTCCACCTATTCCCATCCTATTCTACTAGTTCTATACATAAATCATAAAAATATCCATCCATTCATTCTATTCCTTTTAACTCTCTATTTTATCTATTTTCCTATCCATTCCATCCATTTCTGTTCCATTCTGTTTATTCCTTACATTTCTGGTTTTTTTTTCATAAAAACAAAACTGGACTTTTATTTCTCTACTTTCTACCCTGTTCTATTTCCTACTCTATCTCTTCCACCCTACTATCTACAGAGGCTTCTGCTGCCATGGCTAAGAAGTTGATACCCTGCCTCAGAGCTATGATCTTTGCATCAAACTTGTTCTTCATCATCATCAGCTACAACTCCAGGTTATTCAGCTCCTTAGTTATCTGTGAGTGGAGGTTGCAGACTGTTCTGGCTTTACTATGCATGATTGGAGGGATGACAGAATACAGGTTCTGAGTTGTACTGTACAATTCTACAGTTTGCCCCCTAGTCTTATACTGGATTCCCTTCAGGCTACATCCAGAGTGGTAGAATATACACACTGTACACTGGTTTTCTACATGAATGATCACTATTGACACAGTCAAAAATAAGATTGAAACAGACTTACTTAGATTACTATAGTATGGCCAATCTATCACAGTCTAGTAAGTGGATCCCTGAGGACCCTTGTGCCTCTCTACACACTTCACACACTCAGGCATGTGGAAGACCATTCCCTCTGCCCAATCTAGAGGGATATCCTTGTCCTCCTTGCTTGAAGACTCTACCACAACCTTCTGGTTTTTTGTGCATGTTTCCTTACTAGAGACCAGAATCTCTACCTCTACAATAGTGTGCTTCTTGCTTAGGAGTACTAGTACTGGCTCTAGACAACAAAATGGAGTCAGTATACCTAGAAAATCAACTACCCCTCATCCACATTACCTTTTTCCTTGCTTTTGTCCTCTTTCTTCTTTTCCAGCTTTGTAACTGTTTAAGAAACTAGGAGAAACATTGTATTAGCTTGGCACAATTTGTTAGCCATACTTGTACTTACTAACTATGACTCGTTTCTCCTTCCCATCCCTTCTTGCATCAACCTTCTCTTTCTCTGTGACTGGCTTTTTCTTTTCTGGTTTTGTAACTCCTTTAGGAACTAGGCAAAGACAACATTAGTAGTACACAATTTGTTAGCCATACATTTAATTCATACCTGGCTTGTTCCCCTTTTCTACTACCACCTTCAACTTTTCCACATTCACAACAGTATCAGAACCTGTGTAAACAGTTAGTTATTGTGTATGATTTGTTAGCCATACTTGTACACATACTTTTGGACCCCTCCTTTTCCTTTCTATCCTTCTGCTTTGTTACCAACTGTGCTAAGGCTATAGCCTTCTCCCTCTCCTTCTCCTTTCCCCTCTCCTTCTCCTTCTTTGCCTTGGCCTGAGCCTCTTCCTTAACCTTGGCCCACATTGCTTTCTTGGCCTCTGTCTTTACTTTAGCCCTAGCAGTAGCTTTGTCCTCCTTCACTTTTGTAAGCTCCTCTACTGTTGCCTTACAATCTACAAGATGTTCTGTGTCAGTAGACAGATTGGAAATCAGGAAATAAGAGACTTACTGCCAGATTGACCCTCTACTGGCACAGACAAAACCTCCTTACCCTCCAAATTGTCATCATTGTGAGTGTTATTGTCTGAGCTCTCTTTGTCTTCAGACTTAGGATCTGTGGTCAATCTGTCAGTTTCCTCCTTTACAACCTTGTCCTCTGGTTTGTTTTCTGTGTCAGAACCTGTAGAGTACATCAGTATATGAGCCAGAGACAATGCACTTCACAGAGGTACTCACTGAGTGTATGTTTGACTAGCTTGTCATCCATGTCCATTCCCTTACTAGCTACTATGTTGTTGTATGTGCAATTTCTGAGGAAAATCACAAAATCAGTATAAAAAGAGTGGAAAAGAGTGTAACACTTACTGTCAGATTTGCTAGGGAGTGGTAATGACATGGCAAGAGTGATGGAAGGAAGCAGGAAGAATAAGTAATAATGTTCACACACACACAGAACTTACATTCAGCCTGCTGATCATTAAATCAACCATGTGACTGTAGACAGTCACAAGCAGACACACTAGGAGATGAAACAATCAGCATCATGCTAAGAACTGTACATCACATACAGACAATCACAGCAATCAATTCCAAACACCCACATGACTCATAGAAGCCTACTCTGAGAACACTCAACTATTCCACATTGTAAGCATTTACAAACAGAACCACAAGAGTGCACAGTCTCAGAATTGGCTTACACACATTGTTTTCTCCATGGGATGTACAGATCACATGCTTATCATGGGCTCAGAACACAAGTTGTGTCACAGTGAGTGGCTCAGCAAACCATTACATTATCATTGCCTGGATCAAAGTACTATGATCTTCCAATCAGATAGGACATTAGGGCAATCAAAGTGTTGATCTCAGGAGACTGCCAGAAATCTTGGAACTCTCTGCACTTTGTCTGTACTGATCAGATGATAACAGTATGAGAACCTTCTATTTCTTTCAATGTAAATCTTGCTTTTCCCTTTTGTATAACATTTCCTGTGGCTAGAATGCAGACTACTTAAATTTTCCTCATACATTTCCACCCTATTTTTCTTCCAACCTCTGGCAAAAGGTTCTCTTATTTGTTCTTGTATATTTCGTTATTTTTCTTTTGTTCAGTCATGACATTTCCCTGTTAGTACTACACTTTTCCAGAACTCGGAAAACTATAAATACAGCTACTCATGTACTAGATACAGGGGGAATTCAGATAGTTCACCCATCAATTTAGCTCTTGTCTCTTGTCTCAAAGTCCTCTAGTGTGAGGCATAGTTTTTAGTCTTTGTTGTTTTCTGTATCAGATTGTTCATTGTGTGCTTTGCAAAGTGCACTTTCTGTTATTCACATTACTCTTCCAAGGTTGCAACTGTGCTGGAAGAACTCACACCTGTTCAGAACCACTTTAGTCTCCTAAGACTCATGGTTTAGCTCCCCCTTGAACTTAACGAATCACCTGTGATCTTCTCTTAGACACTTCACAGGAGTTTCAATATACAACCTAACAATATACAAAGAATGTAAAGTAGTACAATTACATCTATCAATGAAGACACACTAGGATTATGAGGAAAACACAGTACAAATATTCACCTCAATATAAAGTACTATCTAAGATGACAGAACACACAGTTGTACTGTATTAACAACTAGTCACTATGAAGGACAAACAAAACAATACAATATTAAAGTAATATACAGAGATTACTGTCTAATAATACTAGCAGGACACAAGCACCTCAGATCTATGAAACTCAGATCTGAAGACCTCTATGTACTTAGTGAATAGTGTAAGGCAGGCAAGCCTTATGTAAAGCTTATTATACTATACAGACACTTGATAATAGAGCCACCTAGAACTTGGAATTAACAGTACCAATTATGAAAAGGCTAATTAAACTTAACTGAGGAAGAGAAGCACTCCTAAGGAATCAAACATGAAGGCTGTGTAAGAAGCATATAGAAAGGAAGATTCAACATTGATCCTTATCCTGAAACAAAAACAACCAATGTCTCAAACATACAAAATCACTAATATATGCATCATAAAAACATATGGTAACATACTAAAAATACTGTAACATAATACACAGACTACCTGAGGAACAGAGCCACTTAGCTTGTGAAGAAATAGGAGGAAAAAGGCTTAATTAAAGTAGTATAAAAAGAGCCTCATTTATTACATAAAAGAGTATTGTACTCAATAACAGTTTATTTGAGGACAGCTTGTGAACTAGCTGTAACAATATACTCATTCTCTTATACAAATCTTTACACAACAATACTACCTTCTTTACCTTGAAATCTAAACACATTAAACTGCTCTTAGAAGCATTAACTCTCCCTCTACTGAGTACAAGTACTATCAACACTCTTAGAGATATACTTCTAGTTGAGTAAAGACAGAAGTTATGCTCAGGACTAGTAGTTACATAGTTAAGGACCTGCCTGTTGTCTGTGAACCTACAATGAGAGGTGTAATTCCTGCACAGAAATATAGTCCATAACAGTCAGGTAACTGTAGTTTAATTGAGTTCCAGAGTTGATTAGTAGTATTCTTTAGTACTAGGACATTCTGATTATTAATTTCTGATCTAATATTATTGTCTGAATGTTTGAATCCTTGTGTATCACTTCTAGTGTCTAGTATGTTCACAGGTGAATTTATTTCATGTAAATCCAATTGTTCAGTATTCTGAGACAGTGTTTCCAATACCTTACTATGTATATCTGTTTCCTAATCTTGCTCTACTTTCTCTAGTATTGTAAACCAGCTTCTAGTTCTTGTAGTAGACCTGCCCTCTGTTTAGAGGTCTGTCTGTGAGTTTCTAACATATCTAGTAATTAATCTAGCCTTTCTACTATACAGTCAACTTGTAATCAATCCTCTAGGTAGCTTTTTCCTTACTGCTACTAGTCTAGCCTCAATATATACAGTATCCTGTATCTCTAACAACTGTGAAATATTATTCCTAACTTGATTAATCCTTGATAGATCATCATTGTCAAGTTCTAATATATATTCTTGCTAAGATTGAGTTGTTCCTAGTAAATCTCCTGAGTATATATGTGATAATGTGTCTGTAAGAATGTTTGTAGTGTTTAGAATGTATTTTACAATGAAATCAAAGTCTGATATCTTCTCTAGCTATCTAGCTTGTCTTCCACTTAATACAGGTTATCTTAGAATGTGTTCTAATACTCTATGATTAGTATACTAAAAGAAATACATTCCTTGTAGTAGATTCTTGTGTTTTAGCATAGTTTCTACTCCTACTAGTAATTCTACATTGTGTACTGAGTAATTCTGTTGTACAGGATTTAATTTCACTGAGAAAAACACTACTATCTTAGAATCTTTCTAATCAAGACCTTAGCTAACTATTCCTCCAATTCCTGAGACAGAAGCATCTATAACAATGTTGATAGGTGGTGCATTATTACTATAGTCCAATACTACTCTGTGATTATGCCTGAAATCCAATACTAACTTTACTATTTAATCAAACACTCACTGTTTAGTAAATGTCCATCTGAAAAATGTGGTCTCTCCTGCAATTTTTGATAAAATACTTGTAGAAATGTGTAACTGAGGTATATTGAGTACTAAATACCCTACTGATCCTAAGAAACCTTGTAACAAATCTTTATTAGTAGGTACTTTCCATTGTTGAATAGAATCGACTTTATGAGGGTTCATTCTAATGCCTTGATCATCAATAATGTAGTCTAGTATCTTCAATTCTTTCTAGAACAATTGTATCTTATGTTTACTGAGATAGAATTTCTCCTTATACAATATATCAATAATAGTTCTGAGATGTCTCATATGATCCTCAATCGTGTCTGAATAAATTACTAAGTCATCTAGGTAGATATCCATCTAGTCACCCAAGTAAGGCTGGAAAATGTAGTTCATTAACACTTGATAGGTGGCTCTACTGTTACAATCACCTAATTACATTACTTTACTAACCATTGTTTCATCCAGAGTGTTGAATATTAATCTGTTTACATGCTCAGGGATCATTCTAATCTGTTCATATGTGTCTTTACTATTAATGAGTGATTTATACTTCTTAGAAGCAACTCTCCTCAATACTAATTCAATATCTAGTAAAGGAGATGATAGTTTCTTAGTATTCTTGTTGTGCTCTCTAAGATCAATGACTGTTCTCAATCATATAGGGTCTTCCTTAGTCTTTCTAGGCTTTTGAAGTAGTAGCATAAGTATTACATTCAATCCTGTAACTACTTTCCATCTTCCTAATTAAATATAGTCCTTTCTCTTGTTTTGCTATTACTCTCTCAAAGAATCCAGACAAGTTGCCCTTTAGAACTTGTACTTATTATCCTTATCTAGGAGTGGTATAGTATGATTAATGGCTCTAAGAGGTGGTAGTAGTGTTTCTGATGTGTCCTTAAACAAATCTGTAGCATATTGCTTGATTTCTTGTCTGCATTTGTCAATTTCTCAATCATAAGTATTAATAACCTTTGATGAAACAACTGTGACTTGTTCTCCTGTTATTGGTAGAGGTATTACACTCTCAATCCATAGTCTAGACTCATTGAATCCAATAGAAACTTTGTGCTAGAAGAGGAACAGAGTTCCTAGTATAATATCATAGTTATCCAAACTCATAATATCAAAGTACTGTATTACATTTACTTCTCTATATTGTATTCTAGTATTAGTACAATAGTTTACTTTCAATCTAGAGCCTTGTACTGCTAATTGGATAAGTAAAGGTTTGGCTAATACAAGCTTCCTGACACCTATTTGATCTGCAAACTTGGTAGACATGAAATCTACTAATGATCCTAAATCAATTAATGCTCTCACTAATTCTCTATTGATTTTAATTGTAATTATGATAGGACATGGTATTGATCTCTTAAAGTCCTTAGTATAAGCTGTAGTATATTCAATTGTATTAAAATCATTGAAGTTAGTAGTCATAGTGTGAATTTGCACAGGTAACTCATACATATATGCTCTATTTCCAGATATAGAATGTGAGTCAATATTTTCCATGCTTGCAACTGAATACATTGGCTCAAATAATTCAGGATTAAAGATATCCTCTATCTCTAATAGTTCCTAATGATTGTAAACATATTTGGCTGAATATTAAACTTGTCTGAGTAGAGAATACTATTCTCTGACATCAAATCTGTTTAGAAAAGCAATCTTAGCAGGTAATGTGTACTCATTTCCATTCTCCCAATTATTAATGATTGTAAACTGTGTGTCTGTACTTCTGAAAACATAGAATT